GATTTTCTATAGAAAAATTGGCATTCCACAAGATTTTCTATAGAAAGACTTAGTTTCCACAAAATTTTCTGTAGAAAAATTTGGTTTCCACAAGATTTTCTATTGAAAAACTTGCAATACACAAGATTTTCTATAAATAAATTGCAATCCACAAGGGCTTCTCTAGAAATATTTAGATTCCACAAGATTTTCTGTAGGAAAACTTGCATTCTACAAATTTTTCTATAAAAAAAACTTGTAATCCACAAGATATCCTATAGAAAAACTTGGAATCCACAAGATTTTCTATGCAAAATCTTGCAATCCACTAGGTTTCCTATAGAAAAACTTGGAGTCCACAAGATTTTCTATGCAAAATCTTGCAATCCACAAGGATTTCTATAGAAAAACTTACAAACATTTTCTATAGAAAATGTTGCAATCCACAAAATTTTCTATAGAAAAATTTGAATTCCACAATTAAGTCCCACATAATTTTTTATCAAAAAATTTCGATTCCACAATATTTTCTTAAAAAACTTGAGTTCCACAAGATTTTCTACTACAAATATTATGTTCCACATAATTTTCTATGAAAAATTTTGCGTTCCACAAGATTTTCTTTAAAAACTTACAAGACTTTCTATAGAAAAAAAAAATAGAAAAAAATTGCAATCCACAAAATTTTCTATAGAAAAATTTAAATTCCATGAGATTTTCTACAAAAAACATAAGTCCCTCATAATTTTTTATCACAAAATTTGGGTTCCACAATATTCTCTCAGAAAAACTTGAGCTCAAAATTCTTTTCCATAGAAAAACTTGAGTTCCACGAGTTCTTTTACTAAAAATATTTTGTTCCACATATTAAGTTCCACAATATTTTCTAAAGGAAATATTACGTTCCAAAAAAGTTGATATAGAAAAAATTATGTTCCATAACATTTTCTTTAGAAAATGTAATGTTCCAAAAAAATCTCCATAAAAAAGTTAATGTTCCACAACAAAATTTTAGAAAATATTAAGCTTCACAAAATTTTCTATACTATGTTCCACAAAGATTTTCTATAGAAAATTTAGAGAAAATTATGTTCCCATATTATTATGTTCCACAAGATTTTCTATTGAAAATAATATGTTCCACAAGATTTTCTATAGAAAATAATATGTTCCACAAGATTTTCTATAGAAAATATTACGTTCCACAAGATTTTCTATAGAAAATATTATGTTCCACAAGATTTTCTATAGAAAATATTATGTTCCTCAAGATTTTCTATAGAAAATAATAGGTTCCACAAGGTTTTCTATAGAAAATAATATGTTCCACAAGATTTTCTATAGAAAATAATATGTTCCACAAGATTTTCTATAGAAAATATTATATGTTCCACAAGATTTTCTATAGAAAATAAAGGTTCCACAAGATTTTCTATAGAAACTATTACGTTCCACAAGATTTTCTATAGAAACTATTACGTTCCACAAGATTTGCTATAGAAACTATTACGTTCCACAAGATTTTCTATAGAAAAAATAATGTTCCACAAGATTTTCTATAGAAAAAATTATGTTCCATAAGATTTTCTATATAAAAAATTATGTTCCACAAGATTTTTTATAGAAAATATTATGTTCCACAAGATTCTCTGTAGAAAATATTATGTTCCACAAGCTTTTCTTTGAAATTATTATGTTCTACAAGATTTTTCTTTGAAAGTATTACGTTCCACAACATTTTCTATAAAAAATTGTATGTTCCACAAGATTTCTCTGGATAAAATTATGTTTCTATGGCAAATATTATGTTCTATTAGACTTTCTCCAGGAAAATTTATGTTTTTTAAAGAAAAATTGCGTTTCACTAGACATTCCTGTTCCACAAAACTGATATTTTCGTAGGTTTTTAGAAATGAGCTTCCCACATTTTCTTCAGAAGTATTGTCTTTGAATTATTTTCTGTGTCAGTCATACGATTTTTTTGTCAATTGCATGTTTGACAAAAATAAATTTAACTCAATATCCAAATTGATGTCCCCAAAATTCTCTGTCTCCCCAAATTCGTCATGCCCGCCATTCCCAGGTAAACCAATTGACTCACCATCCCGACGAGGAAATTTCAACGAATTTCCTATACTAAACGACAACAAAAACACGTTTCCATTAAACCAAAACCATTTCAATATTGAATACCATAACAAAACTATTAGCAACACTTAAGTAAACAATCAACAAAATATTTGTTAAGTAACCGTTAATTACTTGGCTCGAACAAATGTCAAAGTCATGGACAAATAACACAGGTTTGTTCTAAATTTTCAATTGTTGTTGGATTTAACACAAATATTTTCAAAACTTATATATATTTCTTATGCTTGACATTAATAAAGTTGTGCTCAAAAAATATAAAATAAAATAGGAAACCGTGGTTGGAAACCAAATCCCAAAAAAATTTTGTTGTTTATATCGAACAAACAAGAAAACGGGCCAAACACCACCAAAAACAAAAAACTAAGGTGTGAATTGGGTGGTGGTGCTGGTTTCGGTTTAACACACTTTGGCACAGTCAGCTGGTAGTTTTGGAATTCTGTTTTTTAACTTTTTATGTTAGATTTTTTTTATTATTTTCAATTAATTTTTTCTTAGTTTTTTATTTTCACAATTAATTTCGTTAGTTTTTTTTATTATTTCATTATTTTGATTACTAACCCTTAGAATGTTATAGGTTCTTTGTTGTTTTTCTTTTTTTCGTATTTTTGTTTTGGAAGGGAATGTGTGCTACAAAACACAGCAGAAACGTAACTGAAGTCACAGTTCTACGGAAGGTATTGCCTGCCGCGAGCAATAAGTCGTCTATCGACTCTATCGCTGGCATACCAAACGGCAGCAGCAGCGCCGCTGTTGTTGTTGAAGAACAAAACAGCAGAAAAAAAGCTATACAATTATGATAAATATTGAAATACAAGTTAAACAATGAGCTATAGTGGGTCATGCAGGCAGAGTTGGGTGGGAAGTTATCAGAAAGTAGCCAGAAGAACTTCATCAGATTTTTTTTTATATAATTTAGGTATTTTATCAAATACAAAATGTTGACAAAATACAATTTTCTGTAAATTTTTCAAGGAGAAAATACTACGTTCCACAGATTTTCTATGGAGAATATTATGTTCCACAAAATTTTCTATAGAAAAAAATATGTTCCACAAAATTTTCTATAGAAAAAATTATGTTCCACAACATTTTCTATAGAAAGAATTATGTTCCACAAAATTTTCTATAGAAAATATTATGTTCCACAAGATTTTCAATAGAAAATATTATGTTCCACAAGATTTTCAATAGAAAATATTATGTTCCACAAGATTTTCAATAGAAAATATTATGTCCCACAAATTTTTCTATAGAAAATATTATGTTCCAAGAGATTTTCTATAGAAAATATCATGTTCCACAAGATTTTCTATAGAAAATATCATGTTCCACAAGATTTTCTATAGAAAATATCATGTTCCACAAGATTTTCTATAGAAAATATCATGTTCCACAAGATTTTCTATGGAAAAAATTATGTTCCACAAGATTTTCTATAGAAAATATTATGTTCCAGAAGATTTTCTATAGAAAATATTATGTTCCACAAGATTTTCAATAGAAAATATTATGTCCCACAAGATTTTCTATAGAAAACATTATGTCCCACAAGATTTTCTATAGAAAATATTAAGTCCCACAAGATTTTCTATGGAAAAAATTATGTTCCACAGGATTTTCTATAGAAAATATTATGTTTCACAAGATTTCCTATTGAAAATATTATGTTCCACAAGGTTTTCTATAGAAAACATTATGTTCCACAAGATTTTCTAAAGAAAACATTATGTTCCACAAGATTTTCTATAGAAAACATTATGTCCCACAAGATTTTCTATAGAAAATATCATGTTCCACAAGATTTTCTATAGAAAATATCATGTTCCACAAGATTTTCTATAAAAAATATCATGTTCCACAAGATTTTCTATAGAAAATATCATGTTCCACAAGATTTTCTATAGAAAATACTATGTTCCACAAGATTTTCTATAGAAAATACTATGTTTCACAAAATTTTCTATAGAAAATATTATGTTCCACAAAATTTTCTATAGAAAATATCATGTTCCACAAGATTTTCTATAGAAAATATCATGTTCCACAAGATTTTCTATAAAAAATATCATGTTCCACAAGATTTTCTATAGAAAATATCATGTTCCACAAGATTTTCTATAGAAAATATCATGTTCTACAAGATTTTCTATAGAAAACATTAGGTTCCACAAGATTTTCTATAGAAAATATTATGTTCCACAAAAATTTCTATAGAAAATATTATGTTCCACACGATTTTCTGTGTAAAATATTGAGATCCAAACGATTTTCTATTGATATTATTATGTTCCACAAGATTTTCTATAGGACATATTGTGTTCCTCACGATTTCCTAAAGAAAATATTATGATCCACAAAATTTTCTATGGAAAATATATTGTTCTACAAGATTTTCTGTACAAAATATTATGATCCACAAGATTTCCTGTAGAAAATATTACGTTCCACATGATTTTCTCCAGAAAATATTATGTTCCACAAAATTTTCTATGGAAAATATTTTGTTCTACACGATTTTCTGTGTAAAATATTGCGATCCAAACGATTTTCTATTGATATTATTATGTTCCACAAGATTTTCTATAGGACCTATTGTGTTCCTCACGATTTCCTAAAGAAAATATTATGTTCCACAAAATTTTCTATGGAAAATATTTTGTTCTACAAGATTTTCTGTACAAAATATTATGATCCACAAGATTTCCTGTAGAAAATATTAATATTATATAGAAATATTATGTTCCACATGATTTCCTATGAAAAATATTACGTTCCACAAAATATTTGATCGAAAATAATACGTTCCACAAAAATTTCTGTTGAAAATATGTTGTTCCATAAAAGATCATTCCTTAAAAATATCAACTTACTTTTTAAAGTTTTGAAATCCTAGGTTTTTTATTGAAAATATTCCAAATCCTTGAGCCTGGGAATCAAGCCTGAAAATTAAAAAAAGGGATTATAAATCAACTGAACATCGTCCACATGACCCATAGTAGAGTAACAATTTAATAATTTCTCCCCCTCAACACAACAACAGCAAGCCAAGAAATAATATTACAACAACAACAACAACGAAAAACGATAATAGAATTCTGCCAAATAGAAATACTGATACGCAAGCTTTTCCATAGCTTTTATTTTCTTGTCGCTTGCCGTTGATGATTGCGATGATGGCGCTGATGATATTGATTTGATAACTCCGCTTTTTAGCAGTCTTTATTATTATTTTTATTATTGTTGTTTGTTTGTTTTTGTTGTTGCTGCCTTTTCGATCTCATTAGAAGCATTCATTCACACATGGGCTGGCGGCAGCTAGCAACCTTAACGCCATAATAAACCCACAACTGATAGGCCGGGGCACCTCCTTTGGTTGTCATGTTTGCGAGACATTTTTAGTTGTTGTTGTCATATCATATCCCATGCCCTGGTTATTGAATGTTCCAAATCAAAATCGTTTTTTTAAATCATAACTATCATTTTCAGTTATAAATATCCACCCTATGGAGGGAAGGCTTTTGGGCGGTGAGGAGGAAAGAAGGAGTGTTCTACCACCCACAATTTGTTGAGAGTATGTTTGTGTGTGCTTCTCCCTACCACTATTTTTTATCACTTCATTGACTGATACCTTTTTTTGTTGTCATCGTTGTTGTTGTTGTTGTTGTTGTCCAACAGACATGCATGTCAGACGACTCGAAATAGTTTTGGTCTGTCTTGTAAAAATTGTAATGCGTTTACACGAAATTGGACTACAGTATGGCAATTTGGCTACCCAACCCTCCATTGACTGACAAATGTCCCCCACACAACAAAAACAACAATAGCAACAACAACACCGAAATACTTTATAAATATTGCCATAATTCATTAATGGCAATGCAAACAAATTAGAGTCGACATTTTTCACTCTGTTTGCATTCACGGCACACACACACAGAGAGCCGAAAACGAAAACCAAAAACAAAAAAAATCACCAATTAATGGCTTTAAAGAAATACCATTGTCAATAATTTCCAAATTTGGTAAGGTTTTGGCTGAGTTTTGCACAACGAAATTTTCCTTGGCTTTTTAGCAAATAGCTTTTTCGTTGCAATTTCAAGCGATTAATTAAGGAAACGAGGGGAAAATTTCCACAAGATTTTCTATAGAAAATATTAAGTTCCACAAGATTTTCTGTAGAAAATATTACGATCCACAAGGTATTCTGTAAAAAATATTACGTTCCACAATATTTTCTACAGGAAATATTATGTTCCACAAGATTTTCTATAAAAAATATTATGTTCCACACGATTTTCTATAAAAAATATTATGTTCCACACGATTTTCTATAAAAAATATTATGTTCCACAAAAATTTCTAGAGGAAATATTGCGTTCCACAAGATTTCCTATAAAAAATATTGCGATCCACAAGATTTTCTATAGAAAATATTGCGATCCGCACGATTTTCTATGGAAAATATTATGTTCCACAAGACTTTCCATAGAAAATATTATGTTCCACAAGATTTTATATAGAAAATATTATGTTCCACAAGATTTTCTATAGAAAATATTAGGTTCCACAAGATTTTCTGCAGGAAATATTACATCCCACAAGATTTTCTACAGAAAATATTGCGACCCACACGATTTTCTATAGAAAATATTGCGATCCACAAGATTTTCTATAGAATATATTGCGATCCACAAGATTTTCTAAAGAAAATATTGCGATCCACAAGATTTTCTAAAGAAAATATTGCGATCCACAAGATTTTCTAAAGAAAATATTGCGATCCACAAGATTTTCTATAGAAAACATTGTGATCCACAGGATTTTCTATAGAAAATATTGCGATCCACAGGATTTTCTATAGAAAATATTGCGATCCACAGGATTTTCTATAAAAAATATTATGTTCCACAAAATTTTCTATAGAAAATATTGCGATCCACAAGAATTTCTATGGAAAATATTATGTTCCACAAGATTTTCTATAAAAAATATTATGTTCCACAAAATTTTCTATAGAAAATATTGCGATCCACAAGATTTTCTACAGAAACTATTGCGTTCCACACGATTTTCTATAGAATACATTGTGATCCACAGTATTTTCTATAGGAAATATTGCGATCCACAGGATTTTCTGTAGAAAATATTGCGATCCACAAGATTTTCTATAGAAAATATTATATTCCACAAGATTTTCTAGAGAAAATATTGCTATACGCAGGATTTTCTGTAGAAAATATTGCGATCCACAGGATTTTCTATTTAAAATGTTGCAATCCACACGATTTTCTATAGAAAATATTACGTTCCACAAGATTTTCTATAGAAAATATTATGCTCCACAAGATTTTCTATAGAAAATATTATGTTCCACACGATTTCCTATAAAAAATATTATGTTCCACCCGATTTTCTATAAAAAAATTATGTTCCACACGATTTTCTTTAAAAAATATTATGTTCCACACGATTTTCTTTAAAAAATATTATGTTCCACACGATTTTCTATAAAAAATATTATGTTCCACAAAATTTTCTATAGAAAATATTGTGTTCCACAAGATTTTCTAGAGGAAATATTAGGTTCCACAAGATTTTCTATAGAAAATATTATGTTTCACAGGATTTTATATAGAAAATATTATGTTCCACAAGATTTTCTAGAGAAAATATTATGTTCCAATAGATTTTCTAGAGAAAATATTATGTTCCACATGATTTTTTGTAGAAAATATTATGTTCCACAAGATTTTCTATGAGAAATTTTTACGTTCTTTTAAAAAGTTTTGCTTCAAAAATTTTCCTTTCCCAATTTTATCTGGAAAATTTTGCGTTCCACAAGATTGTCTTTAGAAAATATGAAGTTCCACAAGATTTTCTTTTGAAAAAGTTATATTCCAAAAAATTTCCTTTTCCGATTTCTATTAAAAAAAAAAAAAATTGTTTCATGCAAATCTTCCCATTCCTTAGTCATGCAAATTTTCAAAGACTTTCCTTCGATTTGAATTTTTCCCTTCACTGCATTTTCAAACTCTTTTTCTTTCTTTGGATATTCAAAAAATATTTTCAAATCTGCCGTTAGTTTTGTTGATTTTTTTGTCAATTCCAGACAAACGAATTGAAAGTTGTGCCGACGAAACATTTTCAATAGAAAATATAAAATGGCAACTTTCTTTTAATTTTTGCACTAAAAACAAAAGGCAACGAAATCAATGATATTCATGCATTGTTAATAGATTCAGCGGTCCCTTATTATTATTTAATAATATTATGGCGTTTATACAAATTTGAAAAACCCCAAACCCCCTCTCAAAACTGAACAAAGTCAGGCATTTGTTGTTGGTCGGTTGGTGGGTTGTTTGGCGGAGACAAGGCAAATATCTGTCCAAGCAATTATCAAATTCAAATGTTTGCTTCTGCTGGTTTGCTGCTGTTGTTGTTGATTTTTTCAATTTTCCAATTTGTTTTTTTTTTTTTTTTTGCTCTGGTCTGCTATGTAAATAATAAATTCTTACTTTTATTTGCATAATATATTTAAATCTCGTATGGAAAAAGAACAATGTTTTTCTCTTTATCCGGTTGCAACAACTGAATGTGAGAATGTGTTTTATTTGTTGTTGTTGTCGTTGTTTCTTTTTTAACGTTCGTTTGCACCGACCACAAAAAAGTCCGTAATATTACGTTTTGTTTTTTGTTATTTTTTTAATCTCCAAATCGTATTACGTAGATGCCTTCGCGCATGCGCACTTTACCGCTTAACACGAAAATATACGTTTTAACACCTCAACGTTTCAAATCAAACTCAATTCGAAACAAATATTGAAAACCGGGGTTAGACAGTCTCCGCACCGACCGACCGACCGACGTCAAAAATATGTTTCACACAATGGTGTGAAGGTGTGAGTAGCCCCCTTAGAAAAATGTGTAATAACTGAGCGCAAGCAAAGCTTCAAACAAAGTCAAGCTCAAGCAAGAGCTTTTGTTTTGTTTTCTTTATTACCACCAAGTCCCACACTATCATAACGGCCCGTTATCATTCGACGACATAAGACGAACATTATTTGCTCAGAGAATCTGAGTTTGCAATTACATGACATCTCTTTGTTTTTTGAACCAAAGCGTTGTCTATGCCAAGTCTAGATTGACAATCATAGTCATTCATTGTTGAGTGTATTTGTTTTATTATTTAAACTGGTTGCATGTGTTTACTTCCATCTAAATTGTTTTTGTAAATCACTTTTATTTCTAATCAAATCATTAAGAACACTTCGAAGAAGGTATGACTCAATCGGAGAATGCACATTTTGATTCAAAATTAGATGCTAGAGAAGTGCAAAGTCAGAAAGATCACATCATTAATAAATCAGTTTTAGAAAAAAAAAAAACCAAACACTATTTTACAGATATAAAGTTATGGAACATTTTTTATAGAAATATCAATATTGCAATATTTTCTATAGAAAATCCTGTTATCCGTAACATTTTCTATATAAAATTTTGTTATTCGCAACAATTTCTATAGAAAATTTTGTTATCCGCAATATTTTCTATAGAAAATCTGATTATCTGCAATATTTTCTATAGAAAATCTGGTTATCTGCAATATTTTCTATAGAAAATCTTGTTATCCGCAATATTTTCTATAGAAAATCTTGTTATCCGCAATATTTTCTATAGAAAATCTTGTTATCCGCAATATTTTCTATAGAAAATCTTGTTATCCGCAATATTTTCTATAGAAAATCTTGTTATCCGCAATATTTTCTATAGAAAATCTTGTTATCCGCAATATTTTCTATAGAAAATCCTGTTATCCGCAATAAGTTCTATATAAAATCTTGTTATTCACAATATTTTCTATAGAAAAACCTAGTTATTCACAATATTTTCTATAGAAAATCTTGTTATACGCAATATTTTCTATAGAAAATCTTGTTATCCGCTATATTTTCTATAGAAAATCTTGTTTTCCGCAAAATTTTCTATAGAAAATCTTGTTATCCGCAATATTTTCTATAGAAAATCTGGTTATCTGCAATATTTTCTATAGAAAATCTGGTTATCTGCAATATTTTCTATAGAAAATTTGGTTATCTGCAATATTTTCTATAGAAAATCTTGTTATCCGCTATATTTTCTATAGAAAATCTTGTTATCAGCAATATTTTCTATAGAAAATCCTGTTATTCGCAATATTTTCTAAAGAAACTCTTGTTTTCCTCTCAAATTTCTATAGAAAATCCTGTTATCTGCAATATTTTCTATAGAAAATCCTGTTATCCGCAATATTTTCTATAGAAAATCTTGTTATCCGCAATATTTTCTATAGAAAATCTTGTTATCCGCAATATTTTCTATAGAAAATCTTGTTATCCGCAATATTTTCTATAGAAAATCTTGTTATACGCAATATTTTCTATAGAAAATCTTGTTATCCGCTATATTTTCTATAGAAAATCTTGTTATCAGCAATATGTTCTATAGAAAATCCTGTTATTCGCAATATTTTCTAAAGAAACTCTTGTTTTCCTCTCAAATTTCTATAGAAAATCCTGTTATCCGCAATATTTTCTATAGAAAATCCTGTTATCCGCAATATTTTCTATAGAAAATCCTGTTATCCGCAATATTTTCTATAGAAAATCCTGTTATCCGCAATATTTTCTATAGAAAATCCTGTTATCCGCAATATTTTCTATAGAAAATCTTGTTATCCGCAATATTTTCTATAGAAAATCTTGTTATCCGCAATATTTTCTATAGAAAATCCTGTTATCCGCAATATTTTCTATAGAAAATCCTGTTATCCGCAATATTTTCTATAGAAAATCCTGTTATCCGCAATATTTTCTATAGAAAATCCTGTTTTCCGCAATATTTTCTATAGAAAATCCTGTTATCCGCAATATTTTCTATAGAAAATCCTGTTATCCGCAATATTTTCTATAGAAAATCCTGTTATCCGCAATATTTTCTATAGAAAATCCTGTTTTCCGCAATATTTTCTATAGAAAATCCTGTTATCCGCAATATTTTCTATATAAAATCTTGTTTTCCGCAATATTTTCTATAGAAAATCCTGTTATCCGCAATATTTTCCATAGAGAAGCTTGTTATCCGCAATATTTTCTATAGAAAATCCTATTATCCGCAATATTTTCTATAGAAAATCTTGTTATCCGCAATATTTTCTACGGAAAATGATATTATCCACCATATTTTCTATAGAACATCTTGTTATCTGCAACGATTTCTACAGAAAATCCTGTTATCCGCAATATTTTCTATAGAAAATCTTGTTATCCGCAATATTTTCTATAGAAAATCCTGTTATCCGCAATATTTTCTATAGAAAATCTTGTTATCCGCAATATTTTCTATAGAAAATCCTGTTATCCGCAATATTTTCTATAGAAAATCCTGTTATCCGCAATATTTTCTATAGAAAATCCTGTTATCCGCAATATTTTCTATAGAAAATCCTGTTTTCCGCAATATTTTCTATAGAAAATCCTGTTATCCGCAATATTTTCTATAGAAAATCCTGTTATCCGCAATATTTTCTATAGAAAATCCTGTTATCCGCAATATTTTCTATAGAAAATCCTGTTTTCCGCAATATTTTCTATAGAAAATCCTGTTATCCGCAATATTTTCTATATAAAATCTTGTTTTCCGCAATATTTTCTATAGAAAATCTATATTTTCTATAGAAAATCCTGTTATCCGCAATATTTTCTATAGAAAATCCTGTTATCCGCAATATTTTCTATAGAAAATCCTGTTATCCGCAATATTTTCTATAGAAAATCCTGTTTTCCGCAATATTTTCTATAGAAAATCCTGTTATCCGCAATATTTTCTATAGAAAATCCTGTTATCCGCAATATTTTCTATAGAAAATCCTGTTATCCGCAATATTTTCTATAGAAAATCCTGTTTTCCGCAATATTTTCTATAGAAAATCCTGTTATCCGCAATATTTTCTATAGAAAATCCTGTTATCCGCAATATTTTCTATAGAAAATCCTGTTATCCGCAATATTTTCTATAGAAAATCCTGTTTTCCGCAATATTTTCTATAGAAAATCCTGTTATCCGCAATATTTTCTATAGAAAATCTTGTTATCCGCAATATTTTCTATAGAAAATCTTGTTATCCGCAATATTTTCCATAGAAAATCTTATTATTCCCAACAATTTCCATAGAAAAATCTGGATATCCGCAACAATTTCTATAGAAAATCTTGTTACTCGCAATCTTGTCTATCGAAAATCTGGTTATTTGCAATATTTTCTGTCAAAAATCAATATTTTACGTCGAAAATCTTGTTATCCGCAATATTAATAAAAGAAAATCTCCTAATCTGATATATTATTATATATTTCAGTTGTCCATACTATTTTTGACAATAAAAAACATGATATGTACTAAATTTGGTATATAAAATCGCAATTTTGAAAATCTGCATTATTTTTTATGCATTTACTTATATATTTTTGCTAATTCAACAATTAGTTTTAAATATAAAATTAAGTTGCTTTGTCTGAACTAGTTCATTGGTTCATGTTAGTGAGCCCTGTAAATAAGCTGTCTCTAATGAACTACATAGCCCTAAAGAGAAATTCACATTTTTTATAAACTTACAGCCTGTTCCACGATGTCGAAAGAACACGTTCGCACAACTTTTACACGACAAACAGCTGATTTCCGTTCCACTAAAATCCATCAGAACGAAAATTTGCACGAAAATCAAAGCGAACGAAAACGTAAGCGTTTCAGTGTAATTTTGCGTTCCACTATCTTTTTTCTTTCGTACGCATGCGAACACAAATGTCAAAATCAGTCACTTGTGTGTTTGCTGTCGAATGATAAAAATTAAGGAAAATTGTTTTAACATAAACATTCCTTGATTGAAAATGGAAAGAAAAATGTAAGTAAAAATAATAAATGCAATTTATTCTGTGAACAACAAATATATATTTTTTATTTTCTCAATTCCAGCACGAAAAAACTACACAGCTGCGGGCACTAGTTGAGTATATGGGGGAGAATCCTAAGTTCGCCAGAGGAGTGCCAATTTTCGGAAGCAGCAGGCAATCCCATGAAGACCACTGGAAGACACAAACCTAGAAAAAATCATTTTTTTATTATTTCAAAAATGTAAAAATACAATCATACTTACTGGTTGTTAGGTACTTCAAATAAATTCGAAGCATCTCTTAAATTCCTCCGTGGCACATTTCGAACGTCCTCCATAAAAAATAGGGCTACGGAAATATTCTTTTTTTTATTTTCTAAGAGCACAAATAGTTTGAACACAATCACTAGAAATTTTATTTTGTTTGTTTATTTACAATTTGTTTGTTTACAACTGAAATGTCAGTTGAGACAGAGCCACTGCTGCTTTTTCGCGTTTAAATTAGACATTTGACGCTTTTTTTGCTTTATTTCGCGATTAATTTTTCCAAAAAAATATTTAGCAACACTGAATCACGTAAGGCTATGCGAAAGAAAGAACGAAAGTTAGTGGAACGCATTCTTATACGAAAGTGAGTGAGTAGCCTTCGTTCGCACAAATTTTCTTTCGAGATCGTGGAACAGGCTGTTAAAAATGAAACAAAAGTTTTCTTTCGTAAAAATGAATATTGATAAGTTTAAATAATTTTTGCTTGTTCTGTATGGATAAGCTATTGGCAGTACGCCATACGCCAACCCCCCTTAATTTAGATAAGAAGCACTGAGTAGGACAACCGACTTTTCTTGGCACACATTCTTTTTCTCCCTCCCTCTCCTGACTGTCACAAACAGCTGAGTTATTTTGACATTTGTTTGTGTGTGGAATCGAATTTTCTGAAATTTCCCGTGGAAAAATGTCTGGCCGTGAAGCTGTTAAAAGAGCCGTACAACAAGTGCGTCCCATTTTATCTGTCGACCGGGATGAGGCTCGCAGACGTGCTTTGAATTTGTACAAGGCCTGGTATCGTCAAATTCCATATATTGGTAAATATTTGAGAGACGACACACAGCTAGCTGGCGGTGGCGGCGGCTTGTTATGTCATAGGTTGCCTCTCGCTTGGGAGGAATAGAAATAAACAACAAATTCATATTGGCAATTTTTCTTTTGCAGTTAACGACTATGATATTCCCATGTCGGTGGAACAATGCCGCGAGAAATTGCGTGAGGAGTTTGTGAAACACCGCAATGTCACCGATGTGCGGGTCATCGATATGTTGGTTATTAAGGTAAGCAGTTGAGGTTGTTGGTGTAGCGCTCCAGGTAATGGAATTGTTGTTAATCGTAGCAAAATAATAATGTCTTGTATTCCTAGTTTATTAGTATATTGTTAGGATTACTGGACCAAGAAAATAATATGAAGAACTATATTCATATAAACATTATTCACAACCACTCAAGCAAATTGATCTTCTGTAGCTAAAAAAACTATCCTTTTTGTCATAGTTTTAAAACTGTGGATGTTGAATACACTTTTAGGCAATAATCGTTGGAACAACTCTAGTTTAGTAAAAACTCTTAGATTTTTCCGAAATTTTTTCCAGAGGTATGTATTTTTACCCTGATCCCGGTAAACTATTTTTTTCTTGGGGGACGGACCCGGGACCCCAGATTTTTGACCCGAAAGTCCGGGATCAAGACCCCACTTATAGTCAAATTATTTTTTGGACCCGGATTTTTTATGAAACCCCCAAAAAGTCAAAAAAGGGCCCATTATGGGGGTCAACAAAATTGTTTCCAAATTATAGCTGACACTCTTACCTTTCAAAAATGCTACAATTTGTGCTAATACCTTTTTCGGGTCCTGAGATATAGGTCTTTCCATCCGCATAACCCGATTCTAACCAGTTCATTAAAATGATGTTTTTAATAAAAAAAGTGTTTATTTCGCGTAGCAGTCGTCGGAATAACAAAAGTTTTCTAAATTTGGCTCTTTTTGTAAATAGCCGGCCTTCGGCCGGGGCTTGAGATTTTCACCTATGGGTATGTCCGACACCGGCTAACTCGAACAAAAGGTTCATAATTTCGGCACTTTTTGTAAATAGCCGGCCTTCGGCCGGGGCTTGAGATTTTCTCCTCTAGGTATGTCCTACACCGGCTAACGCGAACCAAAGTTTTCTAAATTTGACACTTTTTGTATATAGCCGGCCTTCGGCCGGGGCTTGAGATTTTCTCCTCTGGGTATGTCCCACACCGGCTAACGCGAACCAAAGTTTTCTAAATTTGACACCTTTTGTAAATAGCCGGCCTTTGGCCGCGGCTTGAGATTTTCTCCTCTGGGTATGTCCCACACCGGCTAACACGAACCAAAGTTTTCTAAATCGGATACTTTGGATACTGTAAGTAGCCGGCCTTCGGCCGGGGCTTGAGATTTTCTCCTCTGGGTATGTCCCACACCGGCTAACGCGAACCAAAGTTTTCTAAATCGGATACTTTTTGTAAGTAGCCGGCCTTCGGCCGGGGCTTGAGATTTTCTCCTCTGGGTATGTCCCACACCGGCTAACGCGGACCAAAGATTTCTGAATCGGATACTTTTTGTAAGTAGCCGGCCTTCGGCCGGGGCTTGAGATTTTCTCCTCTGGGTATGTCCTACACCGGCTAACGCGTACCAAAGATTTCTGAATTTCATTCTTACGCAAAATATACCATTTTTTATTGAAAACATAGTTTTAATGAACTGGTTAGAATCGGGTTATGCGGATGGAAAGACCCATATCTCTGGACTCAGTGAAGGTATTAGCACAAATTGTAGCATTTTGGAAAGGTAAAAGTGTCAGCTATAATTTGGCATCAATTTTGTTGTCCCCCATAATGGACCCTTTTTTGACTTTTTGGGGGTTTTATAAAAAATCCGGGTCCAAAAAATCGATAATTTGACTATAACTTCCGAACCGTAACCCATTACCCCATCATGTGACCACTTGTTGGATAGGTATTTTCATAAGCTTTCCAACGATACCCATATTGTCTATATCGGGTAAGTGGATCCGGGTCTAGTCGGGGTCTTGAACCCGGACTTTCGGGTCAAAAATCTGGGGTCCCAGGTCCGTCCCCCAAGAAAAAAATAGTTTCCCGGGATCATGGTTAAAATACCTACCACTGAAAAAATTTTCGAAAAAATTGAAGAGTTTTTACTAAACTAGAGTTAAGCCTAATCGTTAAAATAGGATCACAAAGCAGAGAAATTGAAACTCAATATTTTATAAAATCAAGAAACAATTAGAGGATTCGAGTTTGTTTTCGCTCAAAAACTGTCATCTTAGCTAATTCTTTAGGAAAATTTGGTATGCTATAATAACAATAACAAAAAAAAAAAATATGGACCAAACCTTTCCAGGTTCATGTGGTTTGTTAGGATATCGAAAAAGTCAGCTACATCGTATACACCAGGCATGTCATTGTATGAAACTCGCAATAATGGCCTAAAAGATTATAAAACAACTCATCTATGTAAAGCGCAATTAACTACGTATTATATTTTATATGTCCTACTCTTTATTGATAAATGTTTTTATTTTTTATTTACAGGGCCAAATGGAACTTAAAGAAACTATCGAAATTTGGAAACAAAAGGGACACATTATGCGTTACTGGAAGGAATCCCAAGATCCCAAGCCAACAGATTTCTTGTCCAAATTCATCCAAGGCGTTAATTAGATTTGAAATCTACACTAAAATAGTATAATTTTTTCGTTAAAAAGAAACAAAATGTTTTAAGTGATATTGAAGAAGTGAATAAAAAACAACAAGAAATCGAAAAAGGATAAATGAAATGAAACGAAATGTACTTCCAAATTAATTTATGTTTTTAACACACCAGGAGAGGATATGCTACCGATATCTGTGGTACAAGATTTACTCCCTGAAAAAGAAATATAGTTCAAGTGTTTCACTTTTTCGAAAAATACTTCATTGTATTTTCTTAGTCTAAATTCTTAATAATTCATTTAATTTTTTTTTTTTTAGTTAATTCTTAATTCAAATTGTATACATATTCATTTTCACAACTTTTGTTTCAAAATATTTTCAAATGTTGTGTCGAACTCCTTCAATTCCCTTTCCAAATCGATGTCATTAACAGGATTAATTTGTAAGTCATTGTTACGCTTAGGGAATACATCTAAAGGGCTGACATAATCATGTTTATCCTTCAACATCGAGGTCAATTCTTCATCGGTTATATCAAGAGCATGCAATTGTTTGCAGTGAAGTTTTATGCTAGAAAAGAAATATGCAATTTTAATCTAAAGAAAACCAAAATATCATTTACATACTCTCTTCTTAGGACATAACTTTTCGAACATTTTTTACATTTATACTGTTTCCCAGTGTGCCGGTATTGATGTACCTCCATGGCAAATTTGGAATTTGTGGTATATGGACAATATTTACATTTCATGGGAATTGTCATTTTTTGTTGCTCGCCTTCATTCCTCCTCGGCAGTTTGTTATGTATACGTTGCAAATGTACCTGTAGCTCAGCATTATTTATGTAATTTTTCGTACATAAATGACACTGATGATAACGCTGATTATGTCGTCGACGATGTACCGCCAAATGTGAAGCATTCATAAAAACTTTGTGACATATTTCACATTCGTGTCGAACATCAACATAGTGCACGGAATTCAGATGTGTTTCATATTTGAGAACAGTGTAAAATTTTAATTTACAAAATGTACAACAAATGGGCTCGTTTAATTTACAGCAACGTTCATGGGCTGCCAAACCGGATCGGCGATGAAACATTTTTCCTGAAATTCAAGAAGCCAAAGGGTAAATTTTAAACAATGATTGAATAATTGTTCAAAGTTTACCACAATTTTCACAACAATGTTCATTGGGCATATTGGGTACGGTTTCTTGGCTGTTATGGGCCAAGGAAAAGTGAATTTTCAACGAAGTTTTTTCCATAAATTGTCTATAGCATGATGGACAGTTGTACAGAGTTATAAACATTTCTGAAATTAATTTACAAAATAAATAATTCACTTTGTAATGGCCGTTTCTCTATGGCGATACGAATGTGAATGCGAAAAAATATCAAACCAAATTTATATTTAAATGTTGTTTTTTTTTAATTTAACCAAAAATCATGTTTAAATTCACTTTTGTATTGCCATACAGAAACAGGCTCTGAAAGTTACTTTTATCATCTTCCTCCATATCATGTTCCATATTGAGATGTTGTTTCATTTCAATTAGTGTATGAGTTTGAAAATCACAATTAATGCATTTGTGAGTTATCTCTGTTTCGAAAAATACATAAAGGTTAGGCTAATATATATACAATTTCAAAAGCACATTACCATCAAGTATCTCAACATCAGCAGATATGGCCAGTACTAAATTTAAACAAAATAATACATCATTAAGTAAAAATATGTAATAAAACAATTGTTATAAAAATTATATACTTCATGAAACCTACATTCCTTTGTCCTGTACAAACGATTCTCCAAATCCTTCTGTTTGTGTACTTTTTTGTAATGTTTACACAGACTTTCTATGAAACAAGTGTAGAAGTTACACATCTTACATTTGAAAGGTATTAGTTCTGAAAAGAAAAATTGGAAATTTTTGAAGCATAATTTAATTGTTCAAATAAGTTGTTGGTACTCTACGTTGATGAACATGTTGGGTGTGTTTTATTAACACTTCATGGTATTCAAAGGAATCCTCGCAGTAACGGCATTTAAATGGCTTAAGTTTTGGCAAAGGTTTGGCAATTTCAGATTTTGTTACAGGCCCTAAAAATAGCAACAAGTTATTTTTTAAATTGCTAAAAAAAAGTATTATACTTGCCTGCATTCACGTCTTTCTGTACCACCAGTTCATCTTTGTTTGATCCCACACTCGGGCAACTACCATTGCCACTTACATTGTAATTCATTTCACAATTCCACTTCAATTCAATTTGAGCTTTAACATCATGAACCTCCATTTTATTATTATTGATGTCTTGATAAATGCCACTTGCCTCCACGGAGTAAGCCTTCAACGAGACGCCATGTTCTCCTCTCGAATTCCCCATTAAATTAGTTTCAGCCGACATTCTTTTTTCAGCCACAAATTTATCTTCATATTCCGTTTGCCTTTCCTTGGTCATTAATACAAAATGATAACTGATTTGTAAGGCTTTGCTGCAGCGAAAACAAATTTGTTTGGGATAGTCGACAATTTGTCGACCACCACCATCGCCAGCCTTCATAAAATTGAACAAAGTATTAAAATAATCATACAATGTTTTGTTGTCCTTGTGAGGTGATTCGCTGTAAATTGAGATCAATTCACTTTTTGTGGCCAAACAACAACGGCAGCAATTTGGAAACATTTTAGATTTTTTATAATTTTATATTGAAGGTTGTCTCTTTTTGGAGATCGGTTGTGGAGGATTGGATCTTATGACTTGATGGCAACATGTGTTATGAAATTGACATTTTCCTCTAACGGTTCCATGGAAGAAAACAAGAAAATGTGTGCCAAAAAGAGATTTGCATAAGTTGTCAAGAAATAAAGCATACTTTTAGGTCCATCCATTAAAAATTCTTTCCACCCAAGGAAAATAAAAGCCTATAAAACTTTTTTACATTTCAATTGGAAGGTCCATACAACAGTACTGGAAACCTTCTTTATGATGAATCTTTTAATACAAAATAGGATTTTTTCATTTATAAACAGTTGGTTTAATAGATGTGCAGATATGAAGGAATCGGCAGCTACTCCTTTTCGGTGAATTTGTTTCATTGTGTTCATCCTAGGAAGAAGAATTAGAGATAGTTCAGAGGAAAGGTTGAAGAGGTGTTTCAGCGGGTTGGTTTGCCTAGACTGTAATGGGATCAATGTCTGCATCTGCATGGTAGACGTTCCATCGTCTTTATATATTTTTCATACTCACATAGTCTTGAGTAGTCGAGACCATTATTATTCCATTTTGAGGTCTATTCCGATAATGCAATGGCCATCAATATGTCTACGGCGATCTTAGATCTGACCTATAAATTGATAGATGAAAACAGGTGCTTCTTCTCGGTATTGCCGGCCAGATGGCCTTGAATACATAGCATCCGGTGCACAAGCAAAATATCCTGTCAGATTCCTCGGTGAGGATCTTCTCACAATTGGTGACTTAATAGCTCATCGGTTTGATAATCTCATCATTCGGCAGATCAGTCAACTGGAAAGCACCCATTTCACATTATGTAAAGGAGTAGAAAAGGTATATTTTGTGACATTTCACACTTTTTTTTTATATTTCGTAAATTTCCCAGCTTTTTTCCTCATAATGCTTAAATTACTTTTTATTTACTGTTTTCTATTTATATTATTATTGTATTTTTAATTCCATTTCCTTTTTCGTTTCAATTCAATTATTCTTTTATTTTCTTGATGTTTATTTTCCTTTACGTTGTTACCACTCGCCTTTTTCATTGGTAAATACCTTGCAAAGGCAAACTCTTCATATTCAAAGTCTACTTTTAGGCGCCAACATGAAAATTACAATGCGTTCATTTATAAATGTTATCTATTTGCTTTTTGCAAGGAATTTTATTGCATTAAACATAAATTCATATATATTCTTTATATAGTGTGATATATTATGGGGTTTGCTGCATAAATAATTGTGATATTTCTCTCTTAAAAATTTAAACAATACGATAAGGACTCTAAAATGGAATGATATATGTATAAGCCATGTTTAGCTCATGGATTTTCATTTTATATGTACAAAAATAAATAAATAAATGTTACTAAGTGAATATGCTTATGGAATAGACCAAGCAAGGGGTATGTTGCTTTTAGTCCCAGTTAATTGGCTGTAGAATATCCTCCTGGGGACTTTTGCAGGCCATGCTGTTGCCATTAAACTCCTCATCATCTGTTAGTGCTTTGTTGTGGATTTTCGAGCAGTGATTTCGTAGACTATTCAAAGAAATAAATATTAAAATTATTAACAATTCACAATCTCTATTGCATTAAAATACTTACAACAAACGCTTCTTAAACAATTGTCCACAATATTTACATTTGTTCGGCACAATGCCACAATGAGACCATTTATGTACTTTCAATTGATCCATTGTTGTGAATTGCCGATTACAATTGGCCTCGGGACACATGTAACGTTTGCCAAAGTGTATGATATCCTTGTGCCGCTTCAAATGATGTGCATAACGAAAACTATTCGGACATTTGTCACACTGATGTGGCCTCTCATCGGTGTGGGTCCTTTGGTGAATATCTAATTCTAATTTACTTAGATACGATTTGGGACAGGAAGAACAACGAAATGTTCGTGCCATATGCTTCTTCAAATGATGCCGCAATAAATATAAGGTGGGATATTTAATGTCGCACACTTCACATTTGTATAGCCCCGAGGTTTGATCTTTGTTCTGGGACTTGATAAAATCGCGGCATGTCACTTTACGACTATGTACTCTAACGGCCTCGATTGTGGTACAATTTTCATGGCAGGCCGTACATTTGTATAGTATTTTATCATTTGCAACGCCAGTTGGTATTTCCGAGGATGCTGGGGTATCTGCGTTTATTGTTCGTGTATCAGTATTCATTGTTGGTGTATCTGTATTTGTTGAAATCTCAGTCTCCAAAGTGGGATTTGTGGTCAGTTCGGTGTTTTCTGTTAACATATCGGTTGCATTGAATATCATGTCTTTAGTGGCATCAACCGTTGTGTCAGTTGTGGGAACTGTGCCAATTGTAAGGTCATCTTGTAAATCTGGACAAATCATAACAAATGATGTTGAGGTGGAAGGTGTTACAACACAGTCTTCAAAGGGGAGTCCATTGTTGTTTTTTGTTCCGTTGTCACATTGTGCTGCTGGGTCGATGCTAAAGAGTTGTGATTCTTTGTTACATTCATCCGTAAGTCCTTTTTTATTTATTTTATTGAATAAAATATGGCAGCATTTTTTGGGAAAGATAATACAATTAACAATATCTCTTGATTGGTCTACCAAAATTAACAACAAAAAAGTAGGACGACTTGAAATCCACTACTTAATATTATATACTATTTTAATGACAATCCTCTCAAATATATTTTAAAGTTGTTCAGTGTCTTACATATCCTCGACCAGGCGATTGTTAGATTACTGAGAAAATTTTTCATTTTCCTTTCAACTCCCTTTCGAAAACCATACTTAAAATCAAACAGAAGTTGAACAAAAAGTAACACTTAATTACTCTCAAAATAATGAGTAAAAATAAAATTTCCAATTTTCCTTGCCAAAAATAAAATAACAAAAAATAAAAATAAAAACTTGGTATTTTGTTAAAAAAGGTATAATGTATTTTATAATTTTCTTCTTAGAGATTTGTTTGTTTTGCAATGATTTTCTGTTTCTTTTCTTGCGCTATTAAACAATCGGCAATTGAGATATAATCATATTTGCAGAGTATTATGTTTTGCTATCGTTATTTACAATTGATGGCATATCTCGGATTAGACCATTATTGTTGTTATTGTTATTATTATTATTAATAGTACTGTTGTTGTGGTTGTTGGGATTGGGATTAATAATATTGACCTCTTCATATACCTTACCGCTTGATGCATTCTCATTATTATTATTATTGTTATTAGTCATCACTGGTAGTGGTGCATCAACGTTATTATTATTTAACACCGGAGCGGTTGTGGTTGTTGTCGTTGTTGTTACAGTTTCTGTGGAATTAATTTGAATTTGTGGATTATTAATTGGTGTCGTTGAATGATTACGTTCCAAATGGCGTAACAATTTTGCTTTGGTTGAATATGATCGTATGCAGCGGGGACATTCATAAGGAAGTTCTGTATAGAAAATAGAAGAGTGGGGAGAGACAAACAATAATACAGGTAACAATAGGATAGAATGTGAATTCGTTTAACAACACACAGATGCATGTATGTATCGGTATACTTACTTTTTAATATATAAGAATCTGAAATGAAAATTGAATCCATTAGCAAATAATAAAACAAAGAAGCATTGCAAACTTACCATCGTGAATGCTATGATTTGTGTTCAAGTGTAATTGCACACTGGGAAAGTCTGTGGATTCATAGGTACATTTAGCACACATAAAGGTTGTTACTGTAAATAAAATGCGCATAAATAAAAATATATCATAATTCACCTAGCTTAATATAGGCTCCCCAACTTACCGCTGGATTGTTCAATACTCAAATTTTCCATAGAAGAATTATCACTAACATAAACTGCATGGAAAACGAAAAACATTAAAGGAAAACACTTCAAATACTCTATCTCCAATTCAAGAACATACCTTTATCACCCTTGGCCTGGATCATATCCCTTGTGGGTATTCTCTTATGGACAGCCCGATAATGGCGTATTAAAGCACGTTTAGTGTTATAGAGATTGGTACACATTTCACAACGATACGGAGCCAGTCCTAAAAAAACCCAACATTTATTTTATGAATACTTTTTTTTCAAAAACTCCCTTACCTCTGTGCAAAAACATATGATTTTCAAATTGATACTGGCTGAGAAATGATTTTTGACACTGGGCACAATAGGATGTGGCCGTCTCCGTTTGACTTTCACTCTGCTCCTTGAGGACATCATCAAAATCATCATCGGAAGTGAGAGCCAAATTACGCATATCATTGTCATCGGATGAATTTTCAACATCATCAAAATCCTCAAAGAGAGCATCGCCGTTAAAATCAAAATCCATATCGGTTTCAATGGTCTGTTCCATTTCCACAATTTGTGGTATTGCATCGGATGGTAGGGTATATGTAGAACTGGAGGATGGTGTTAGGGGAGCAACGGCATTGCTTAATGTGGTATTTGGTGTTAACACCAATGTCATGGGATCAACAACGTTATTGAAGCTCGTTGTCAAGGAATTGTCCAGGGGAGTGGTTGTGATGACAACTTCTTCTTGTTGTGGCAATTGTTGTAATACTTGAATCTGATGTGTTTGCGGCGTCTGATTAGGCTCTTGATATTGTAACTGTATTTGTGGCTCTGTTGTGATATTATGTTGCTGCATGGGTAAAAGGGTTTCTGTGGGTTGTAAGTCCAAAGAGTTCCCTGTGGTTTGCTCCTGCACTTGTTTCACAGTACTTGGTGTTTTTGTTTCCTTTTTTTGGAGTTGCTTTTCCGCCTCCTCCTGGGCACTATGCAGTTTGTAATGTTCATACAATTTATTGCGATAGAAAAATACCTCATTGCATTTACGACAATTCAATCCATTCAAATAATCCGGTAACATGGGATCTTCTTCGGCCGTCGTTGTATTCATTGTATTATTTATATTATTACTTATGTTTACAGAGGAAGTTTTTTGAGGCGAGCCCCCACTAAGGCTGGAGGCGGTTGACGTGGTCGGTGATGATCTCATTGTTTTATTAGACACTGGCTGTATGAGAGTGTTGTTGGTAATGCCCGTACGTGTTGGCCTTTGCTGTATATCCTGTACATTCATGCAATGCTTGGCCAGATAATGCCGTTTAATTTCATACTTCAAATCACATTCATAGAAACATATATCGCAACTGTATACCAATTTCGGAGATCTGGCAAAACGTTCAATTTTCTCAACAATGGCATTTTTTGTTTGTGGATCCATTTCAGCGTCCGCACAACGTGTGGTTGGTTTATTTTTCGGTTGTAGCTGCTTGTTTGTCGGCTGGATGTTGTGTTTGCTTTTGTAGTGTTGATTTAAATCAATTTTAAAGAAGGTATAAAATGAACAATGATCGCAGAAGAAATGTGGAATTTCTGGAGGGCGGAGAAGAACAAGAGAGGGAGAGAGAAAAGATTATTAAATGACTGCGGCTTGTGTTTTCACAAAACTCACCATTGTGTGTCAACATATGGGTTTTCAGCTCATCTTGTGTATCAAATTCTTTGGCACATATTTTGCAAATATTTCTTTTTGGCTGTTCAATAAATGTGGCGGGGATCATGTCTTCGTCAATGGGGGATATGGGTACATCTGAAAGAAAGTACATTACATTTTTTATTTGTGAAGTTGTTTTAAAGAATGATTTTTACTAATATGCTCCCATACCTTGTGTCTGTTCTGGTGTATTCTCTGGATCCTCCACAATAATATCATCCACATCCATTTGCACCATATCATTGTTTGAAATTATCATACTGGTGGCGTTTGCATCGCTTTGTGTAAGCGCCAGGTTATTTGTATTGCCATTATCTTGTGACACAATAATATTCGATGTACTGCCATCATTTGGGACCTGAAGAATATTTTCGAGCACCAATCCATTGTCCAAGGACAAAGTTGTACCATCTCCAGCATTAATGTATTCAATAACAACACCTACAAAATACACGAATTAATTAAAACACACATTCTAGCCAACATAATTGGCATACATACCCTTGCCCATAACATTTTCCACAGACCCATCGGCCATAACAATAAATTCATTACCAACATTTGTGTCATTTTGCATATTGAGATTTCCTTCAAAGCCGGAATTGAATGTAAATGCCTCTCCATTTGTTTGGGCAAAAATTGTCGTTGTTGCAGCATTTCCCTCCAGGGGAGCCGTTGTTGTTTGGGTATTTATGGCGGTGGCATAAACGATATTTTGATTTTGTGGGGCACTTGTGTAAATAATTTCATGAGAGTTTTGTGCTGTTGCTACGGGCTGGTGGTTATCAACATAAACTTCACCTGAGTTTGACAGTGGTTGTTGTAGAAATTGCTGTCTCTGTCCGCTGCCATTAACAGTTTGTCTGGTGGATGTGCTATTGCTGCTTTTAATGGGAGGTGTAATTTTTGTCTTGGGCTTCAATTGTTCAGGGGTTGGTTCAACGCCGTGCGTAAATTGATAATGTTGTATTAAATGATTGCGTTGATGATGTTCAAATCCACATAATTGACAATTATAGGCAATTATATCTGTGTAAGGCATGGGAAAGGGGAAATACATTATTTAAAGAATACATTTTTATTATGGATTTATTTTATTACTAAAGATTAGACGACAATGTAGAGGATATTGTGTTATTTTTATTTATATTAAATTGTAGGCATTCTCTAAACCGGAAATTCATACAAAATCAATGCCACTTTTCTCGTAATAAAACACAATTATTAACACTTGTTTGGAAAAGGCTACATTCTTGTTGCCTTTTTTTGCAAATTCACATAATACCAACAGATGTTTTTTTCTTTATCCCTGCCTCACTCCTTTACCATTAACACTACCACTTGATTGCCCAAATTATTGCAAATACAACACATGTTCATACGCGAAACTCCAAAAAAACCAAATCTTGTTTCCTTTACTTTCAACAATAACAACAGATCAAACGTTTGCCAAATGATGACTCACACAAACAAATGTCAATGGGGGGGGGGAAGTCATAAGGATTCTACCAACTTACCCAAATGCAATTTGACGTGATCTTTTAAAGACCTCTTTGTTTCCAATTTTGTATTGCAAATTTTACAACGATAACGTTTGGGCTTCTTTACTTCCTCGCTTGCCTTTGCTTGGGCCGCCTAAAAGCACCACGCAATCACAACACACAAAAGAAACGCAGACAAAAATAAAATTACATTAATTAGGACACTTGCGACACTACACCACAACATTCATCGACTCACCTCCTCTCGTTCGAGTTGCTTTTGTTTTTCTTTGATTTCATTGATACGAATTTTTAGCACTTCCTGGGCTTTGGTGGCATTTTTCATAAACCAATAGGCCACTTGTAATGCGGATGCACAATCTTTGCATATACACAGGGGCAGGGCATCGGTTTCCTCCGTAACTCCGCTATAGCTAGGCATACAGTAGTTGAGACAATCCAAATATGTACTTCTGTCAGCACCGCCATTCATGGGCGCGCTTAAATTTTGCATTTCTCCATTTGCTTGCAAACATGTTCGACAGACGGATGAATAATAGTCCTTGCAATCCTGTATACTTTTTTTATCGTCCATCTTTTTTCTATGTGCTTGCCTTTAAGGGGGGTTTACGTAGACCCCTTGATCTTTGTTTGCCTATTCTTTGATGAGTTTTTTCTCTACTCTTTGTGTTGTTTATAGTTTTATAGTTATGTAAAATAATTGTCTGCAATTTATTTGATTTTTTGCAAATTCTTTTCCCGAAATTACGAATTTCATTAAATTCTTTGTAATTTTCGTGTTGTTTACTAGTACTGTGTTGCCGGACTGTCAAAGTAGTGGATTGATGTTTGTGTGGTGCTGCCACTCGCAATAATTGACACCGGATTGCCAACCCTTATAAAGTTAGTAAGTAAACGCATAGACAAATTAAGATATAGACAACGAAAAGTTAGTTTGGTCTTTTTTTCCAGGTGGCTCTCATCATGTTTTGCATAGACAACATGCTCATTTACGCGTTCAAGCCACTCGACTTCGAAAACACATTTCATCGTTTTTCAAGAATTTCACTTGATTATTCCGGAATTTTTTGATGTCATCTCGTAATTTTCACATTTATTTTATTATGGAACAATTTCCAACTGACAAATATCCTACAATTTTTGTTATTTTTAACGTTTTAGAATTGAGTGACTTCAATATTCCCACTCAAACCCCTGAAACGATATAGACGACATCTGCTGATTCGATTTTTTTCGAAGATAAACGGTGAGAGCATTTCGTTGTCTATATTTTCATTTGTCTATGGTAAACGTTTAGATTCAACTAGACGATTGGCAACGCGAATGAGTTGTGCCATAGACAAATGAAAATATAGACAACGAAATGCTCTCACCGTTTATCTTCGAAAAAAATCGAATCAGCAGATGTCGTCTATATCGTTTCAGGGGTTTGAGTGGGAATATTGAAGTCACTCAATTCTAAAACGTTAAAAATAACAAAAATTGTAGGATATTTGTCAGTTGGAAATTGTTCCATAATAAAATAAATGTGAAAATTACGAGATGACATCAAAAAATTCCGGAATAATCAAGTGAAATTCTTGAAAAACGATGAAATGTGTTTTCGAAGTCGAGTGGCTTGAACGCGTAAATGAGCATGTTGTCTATGCAAAACATGATGAGAGCCACCTGGAAAAAAAGACCAAACTAACTTTTCGTTGTCTATATCTTAATTTGTCTATGGTTGTGCTCCAACGTTTAACATCGACGTTCATTTACAGAAAGTGGAAAAAATGACAAAATAATGAATGAAATCATAATTTTTATTGCGCTTAAAATTTAGCGTATGTTTGTGAGTTCAGTATTTTACTCATTAATTAATTTGAAGGTATATTATCCGCCTGTTTTTGTTGACAACCACAACTCAGGCACTTGGACTAAAACCTTTTGCAATAACGCACAAGTTTCGATTCATGATCGTTCAATAATAGTTTTTGTACACACAAAAATATATTAAACAAGATATACAGGGAGAGATGAAAAAACTGTAACCAACTTCAGACTGCTGTCATTTCTAAGCCACTCGTCCGACAGCTGTTAAAATTACACCAGTGACAGCTCTTTATATTGTTTACAAGCATGCGAAATCATTTTGGTTAGAATTTTCCAGATAAAAAGTTATTCGTGATCGAATTCAAGCGTGATAGTGTGATTTCTTTATATTTGGCGGGAAAACCACAAGTGGCTATCGTTAATGCACTCCAGTATTTAAATGTGAACAAATCTTTTGTGTCTCGTACCATCGCTCGTTACCGTGATACTGGTAGCGCAGCCTCAAGGAAGTGAAGAGAAGAACGCAGCAGTGGCCGAAAAATGGCTCGTGAGCTGACATATCGCAATATTCCATTCGGCAAATATTGAAAAATGAGCTCGGGGTAAAGCCATTGAAATCCAAAAAGTGCAAGAATTTAGACCGCATCAGAAAGAAAATAGACTTAAAAGAATTTTGTTTTCTCCGATGAGAAAACAATCGTTGTCCAGCAATTTCTAAACGAACAAAATGATCGTGTTTACTGACCAATTCGAACTATATCTTATTCTAAAATTTAATGCTATTTCCGAATTTTTCATTCAATTAAATTAAAAATTATGTCATTTGACTTTGTTGTAGTTTTTTCTATCAGCCTGTATGTTTGTACATTTATATTCTTTATTCGCTGTGTTTAAAGAAAGTCATTCATATTTTTGCAGGGGATTTTAAATATATTACTCCTGTTTCTTTTTATTGAAGCATTTGGTTTACTAGTAGCTTATATTTAACTAAATTAATTACTTAAAAACATGATACTTTAAGCTATTTAATATATTACACAGAAATGCAAGAACTTAATTAACATCCTAAAAAAACAATTACCGTACTCTAACCAATTATTTTTCATTACATTTATTACACTCAATATTTAAATGCATTTCATTTACATACATGCATCAGTCTTTCAGTAACAATCTTTTAAAATATCTTCCACAATATTATTATTGATATTCTGTTCAACAATATTTTCTATATTTTCTTGCTGTGTTTCTATGAGATCTCCATCAATTTCATAAACCTGCTCATCATCTATTGGTTGCCCTAAATTAACATTTAAATACTGATTATTACCCGTTTCACAGAGTTCTGCATTTTCATCTAGATCAATTTCAAAATCTCTGTACAAGGTTGATTGATTTAAATCATCATCGTTGGACTCATCATCATCGTCACAGGGTACGATGGGATAATACAATATTCCATCATCGTCCTCATCATCGGATAAAACAACACTTTCAGTGCCTAAATTTGTAGACATGGGAGCTATTTCTCTTTTCACTTGGCTTTTATTGGATAAAATCTGGGATAGTACCAACATTTTGTTGTCGGAAGACTGCACCAGATTGTATTCCTCTGGTGTTAGTAATTCTATGAGGGTTTTCGTGCTTTTCACATAACGATCTACTTTTTCCCACGGCACATTGTGCCGACTAACGTAATGACGCCGTATACTAACCACACTGCAAAACAGGGCAAAGTCGTGATGACACAAAAAGCATAGTAACGTCTTCTCGGTTATGGGGTGTTCTTGCTGATTGTGTAGTCGTTTTTCTTGGGGAGTATCAAAAACAAGCTTGCATCGGAAACAGCCATAGAAATTGCCAGTTGTTTTGGTTTTTCTCATTACTTTAAACCATAAATACTCCTGGCGCTCCTCTGGGTTATATTGCATTTTTGCCACATGTTGTGGTTTTGATCGTCTGACTATTTCATCACAAGTACCAAATTCCACAACATGAATTTTGGTCTGGTGTTGACGCAAACTTCTTGAATTTGAGCAAGAAAATTTACAAACAATACAACGAAGTCGTTGCTTTTTGTGTTTTTCCCTGATATGAAAATTGAGATTGCTAACCGTTTTGTAGGTGGCTCCACACGTTTCACATACATAGCAATGACTTGGACGTTTCCAAACTCGTTTTTTGGAAATGTTTTGATGTTGACAGTCTTTGGCCATTTGCCGGGTGAAATGCATTCGACAGCATACCGAACACGCATGCTGGGGTGGAAAATGTTTTATACGATGACGCCGCAAATCGATGCGCCGCTGAAAATCTTCATAACAAATATCACATATAATGGGTTCGGGTGGTGTCTGGGGATCATCATGAGAATTGTTATCATCCGACTCTGTTTGGGTATCTTCATCGCCAAATATCAAGTCCATATCGGGCGCTGCGCTATTAACAAAATAAGGTTTTTTCTTTTTTTGACTTTCCTTGTAAAGCATCCATCTTGGATAGCGCCATATATCATTGTAGTCCTTTCGACCCGTATTATTTATCCAAATTATGTTTTTGTTACATTTACGAATATTTTCCTTGAGAAACCTCTCAAGTATTTCATAATATTCTGGAAATGTGAGGGTAAATTTTGTACCCAAATCCTTGGCCTTTTCATTGGCTCGCATGGTTCGATTAAACCATATATAAATACGCTGTATGCTAAGACGAACTTCTACATCTGTCATGTGTATGTTAAACATTGAATTTATGTGTGTGCGCAACTCCATAATACTGGAGCGTATTTTTTCCAATGTTGTTCGGTTTTTAGTTTCTTGAAAATTATATAATTCAGGGTACTTTTCCAATTGTCGAAGAAATTCAAAAACAATTTTACGATTTGTTAAACCGAATAGTATCTGAAAATAAGAGGAAATGTTTATTTAGGTCTTGTAAATAATTGAGGATTATCTATTTTACACCGCAGTTATTTGTTGAGCTTGGCTGTTCATCTTCATTTTCATCATTCGATGGCATATCATCCTCAGAGTCTATATAGCGTGATGGAAAGGGTGCAACTTGTGGTGGATTCTGAGGCGTCACTTTTGGCTTAACTAAGTCATCGAACTAAAGGAAAAAAAACATAAAGTTGGATGTTACTTTGCAGTAGCTTTCAATGTGAGATTTTTTGTTTGGGAAACCTACGGGCAAAACTGGTTCAATAGTTGTGGCTACAATGGTCTCCATTGGTTCGGCCTACAAACAAGAAAATTGTAACATTACATGTAAAGCAAAAAACAATTAAAGACCTACTTGAATGTCATTTTCATCAAGAATCAAGGGAGGGGACTCTAAGAATTCAATATATTCCATGTCATCCTGGGAGGCCTAAAATAGAGAAATATATATTTGTTTAATCTAAAAAATGTATATCTGAACATACATACATCTTCAATGTTTTGAAGATCCTGAAACTCGTCAGCATTATCATCTTCATCTTGGGAAGACCACTCATTGGCAATCAAAGTGGGTAAATCAGGTACTTTACACTCGCTTTTCTTATTATCACTCAAGATATTCTTTTCTATATGGTGCAAACCATCAGGATCATCCACCATTTCACTATCGTCACCTTCATATTTCGAAGACCAACCATTTCCAATTAATATTGCCGATTCCTGGTGTTTTTTCGAATCCAAGGAAGAAAAACTGTTATGTTGGCTTGGATTTTTTATGTCCACTTGATCCGCATTGACTTTTCTTATTTTCGACGAAGATTCCGAAGTCGCAGTTTCGACCGATTCCACCTCAGAATGCAAACGTTTATCACCAATGGGCAATTGATTGGAATTCTTATGGTTATCATTTTTATCACAATTCTTTTTGACGTTCTGTGGATGCATGCTTTGTATGTGCCTGATGAAATAACTACATTTTTTTAAGGGAAACTCTTGATAACAATAAAAACAATGAATGGTAAAATCTTGCGCAGCAATAATACCACAAATGCTATCGTTGCAGGTGAATCTGGAAGAAGTATCATAATTAATGCAAATCAAATTAAAATAGCGCAAGAGTTCATACTTTGTTTGGGTTAATTTTGATTGATGTTGGACAATGGGTTTTGTGGTTGGAATATTACTTGTCTGTATGGACCTTGACGTGTAATTGCTATAGTTTGTTGATCCACTATATAAATTATCTTCAAGTACATCAATTTCGTCTTCGATTATGATATCTTCATTATCGGAGAAACTTGGTATATCTTCATAGTCGTACATTTCATTTTCCACAGCTTCCAGGTACCTTATATATTCGGGTTTATTTTCACAAGCTTCTGCTGGTGATTTATGTCCATCCTTTGGTGACACTCTAGGCCTTTTGTTTGTAACTTTATTGGTTATTACTTTAAATGCATTAGGAATAATTCCCGTTTGTTCCATATTGTTAAATGCTTTACAAAATTTGTCAATGGAATGCTGCAAGGAGAAACTAGAAAATTATTCTGCACACCGTAACAAGCCGAGTAATAATTACCTTATAAACAGAACCTTAATGGGCTCATTAATCTATTTCATATAGCCTCTCGCTTGGAAACCTTCATCAAATATAACTAGTTTCCATTGCAGCACTTTGTTGAATTCGGTTAGTCCTGTGTGGGCATGCACGCTACTCAAATGTGACTACAAAGCCTCCTTAGTAAACCTCTGCCGTAAAAAAACTAAATAAGTATGGAGATAATGTTGATAATGAAGCCAATAAAAACAAAATAATAAATAAACGGGACGAATGCACAATTGATAAAATATGAGAATATAAACAAAATCGTCGTCCACAATTGGTTTCTACAGGTCGACAATGTACGATGTTAGGGGTTTCTAGATCGCAAACTCGATGCAACGATTTATCGTCATGTAAAGGCGTCCAACTGTGAATTTAAAGAAAGTATATTCAGTATATAATTAAAAAAATATAATTCTTTTGTTGAAAGATTAATCTGCAACAAATTACAACAAAAGATTAGATGGTAATTAAATGAAACCCCATTTGTAAAAATAGCGAACAAAATTGCCGAGGGATGTAAGGTTTCTGAAAATCGATAATGGACACGACTAGGGGTTTCAAGGTAGAAAACGACAATCATTGGCTCATCGACATAAAGGAGTTGCCAAACGGAAATAAAAATAGAAGGTTTTAGCAAACAATTAAATTTTTTTGGTGGAATATGTCTTCGCTAAATGAGGTACAGTATTGCCAATGCGTGGTAGTGAGTACCGTTAATTAAGAAATGATTTTTTGGTTTCTACGTTCCCATTACAATAGGACAAAAGAAGGGACAAACTTAAATAAAATATTCTTTATGTAAGATTTTAATAAAGCCATATTTCAGAAAACAAAATTTAACATCGTATAGCGAAGTGAAGGTGGAAAACTTCATATTAAAGTAGAAAGCAGTCCCTTAAGGAACTTTTTATATATAAGAAGGAGGAGTAGATTCAAACTAGGGGAATAAAATAGAATAATAATAAACATCTTCCTGCAATTGCAAACATTCTCTTCCCTTTGGATAAATCAGTAACGCTATCCTGTTCACTACCATTTATCCAACTTTGTGGGTTCCAATGCGACTCATTTGTTTGTTTTTGTAATTGCTATCAATTATTAATAATGTCAATCAAACATGCATGGATTTAATTAATTTTTGGTCCTCTACTCTATTGTTTGCATTAGAATCAATTAAGTAAAACAATTTCATGTAATTTACATACAATAATATACACACAAAAACGCACACCTACAAACACATCCACACATACACAGTGATTCAAATGCAACTAACACACAATAATTTATGTGGAAAATCAAGTGAAAAAAAAAACACTGCAGCACATTTGTAACAATTTAATATAATCTGCTTTGGCTTTGGTCACGCAATAATAGTTTATGGGATGTGGAATTGTGTGGCGAGGTTAGGGGAGTGTTCGGTGTATGGAGAACATGTTTATTAAATTACCTCCTCCTCCTCTTCCAATTCACGACCGGAAAATATTTATGTACATCGACCACAATAATATGAGCAAGTGAAAATACTAACATTTGTTGTTGCATTCGTAAAAACCACCATTTAAAATCGGAAATGGAGCCATAAACAGCTATGAAATGCCAAGAGGAAGGGGAAATGTAAATGAATAACTTTGTCAAATACAATTGGGAGTTTAATGCTTTTATTCGTATCGGAGGCGTGATTTGTTTTAGTCTTCGAATGATTTAAAATGTAGAATGATAAAAAATTGACAGGCCCACAGGTAAATGATGTCATATTTTACTTTATTTTTTATATGTACTACCAGCCGAGCCAAGAAGTTGTTTTTGGGGGTATATTCTTAAGCCTACTATGTCCATAGATTCATTTCTGGGTTTGACTTAACTCATCGTGTTGAGATGTTACTTTAAGAGGGCATTCACTTTTCACTGACAACACCGGCTAGAAAACGGTTTGGCTGTAAAACTTTTGGATGAAAATAGAATAAAAAAAATCCGAGAGTTTTTAGTAAATCAGAGTTATTTCCAAAGAACGAATGTTCGATGAGACGGTAAATCGAAACAATAAACCGAAAGCAACTCAAAAATAATTCTATAAGGGGCAATAATAAAAACGTCACCGTTTGTGGGTAGATAGGGCTATACAAGTCGAAGAATAATCACTCCAGTGATTTCGAGGTCGAAAGTGTCATACATTGATTTATGGCTCTAAAAGTGTTGCCAATCAACAAAATAAATGAATTGAGGTAAATATTCAGTATATCTGACTCCAGTTGGATCTATAAAGACTCAAAGGTATATGATATGTCTATTAAGGCTCTCTGGCTTTAGATGAACAGTAAATGTCTCTACCTTTGTTGTAGTTCATCACTGAAGACATCTTTTTTTTTGTATAATCTATAAACGTTTCGTGCCTATAAATACACCCGCATAAATACAACCCGACTTCAGCCCGTTACGCTAGCTACTATCTGGATAAAAAATACTCCCAGATTCCAAACCGGCTATTTTTCCTGTATAATATATTGATATGTGGTGGTATGGTCCTCCCTCTATCCTTCTTTCTCTCACAATTAATCTCTGCAAACATGACTGCCCTTAATTAAGCATTCGCCGGAACATCAAAAACAAATGTCTTTCATATTTAAAGGATGATGTCATAGTAGCAAATATAAATTAATCTTATGTCACAACTTTTAACAGTAATAATGGTTTATTAGTAACTTTCAAATAGAACCTTATCAACACCTTAACCTATAACCCCCCACCGCCATTTCCAAAACTCATTCATTCAACGTGAACAGCTGTTGGTCGATAAATATTTTATTTCCCTTTCCTCTCTCCCCCCTATTTCAGGATGACACCTAAGCAACCTTTGAACCCGACCAGAAAAAACAAAAAAATCCTCAAATTTCAAATTATGCGTAATAATGTTTTAGATGTCACGCTTCTGTTTTGTTCCCTCGTTCATCTAATTGAACGTCCAAAAAATTGAGAGGAAGAAACACAAAAAATAAACGAACCTTTATCGAATTTCAATACCCCAGAGAGATGAGGAAAAAAATCACAAAATGAGACCAAACTACTTGAGAGCAGTAAAACTTTTCACGTTTTGCTTCACGGGTTTCCTTTGGAAGAGGAAACCTACCAAAAAAAAAAAAAAAAAAAACGATGATTTAAAAAAAAAATAACAACCATCAAAAAATCCATCGATGGCCCAATTCGTTTCCACCGTCGCAACCCCCAACCCCTGCTCAATTAATGTTGCCACAACAACAGCCATTCCATTGTGAGCATTGCAATGGTTCAGCATCATGGTTTCCTCTTCACAAAAACACCAATTTCTGCTCATCTGGCACAACAACCACTTGCCTAGCCAGCCATAGCCACTTCCATTTCCACTTTGTAAACAAACACTCGGAACTTTTTTTGCCCCTTTGCACTCGCTGTTTCACTTCATTGTTTGTTTTTGGTAGGGATAATTTTTAACGTCCTTATTTTTTTCGATAGGGTAAGGATGTAGGGATTTTTTTCCCGTAGCAAATGGTATCGGTATCAAGTAAATGTTCATTGGAAGTGAAAGTTTACATAAAAATAAATGATGTTAAGCCAAGAACTTTTGATCTTAACCAAGTAGCTTGGCGTTGGCTGGCGAAACGTAGTGCAGAAAAAAAATACGAATACCCTGCCAACCCCTCAATACGAAAGCTGAGTGGAGCATCAAAAAAGGGTTAAAATCAATTTGCTGTACAGGATTTTGTTACAAACGAATGAGAAGGGTGGAGGGAGGTAGACAAAATACAAATAACGAAAAAGTTGGGGAAAATCGACCACAAACATTGCGGCATGCTAGTTTTTGGGATAAGTTTAAAGTACACTCAGGGAAAAGAGGGGAGGAAATTTGAAGATTTCACATACCTTAAGAGGGAAAAGGGTTTTTAAATGGCTTTTGTGGAGGGAACAACTCTTAGGAGCCTTACAGTACGTTTATATATATGAGGGTTAACCCACTGGATTTGGATTAAACTTATCATATCCATTACTTATACTTCAAATAAATCCTCTTAAAGTAGGTTAACCCTACGTAAACATGGCATTATATGTATAGAAGATTTCCCTGTCCATAGATCATCTAAAAAATCCCTGCGTCAATTCATTTAATACTTTCTTGGCTATTACTTTTAGTTTAGGGATGGACCTTCTCCAGCTTGTCTATAGCGATGGCCCTTTTTGAGCTCGTCCTTGTTTAAGATCGCTTCATTAAAATTCCCTGGCTTAAGTATAGAACCATGGTAGAAGAATATAGGTAGATGGATTTTTAATAATTGTTTATTCAACATTTTTAATTGACAGTTCATTTCCCAGCAGCTGTGTCGATGCGACTACCTGTATTCTTCTACCATGTATGGAACTCTGTTTTCATTGCTTAAGACTCCAGTAAATTTCCACACTCCGAAGGCATTAAATTAAGGTATTACTTAACATTGCATTCACTTTTCACTGATAACATAGGTAAAGAAATGGTTTAGCCGCATAATGCTAGGAACACAATTGGAGCGAACGACGAATTTTTTCGCGGCGTATGTTCGTCGTCAAAAATAAAACACATATGTGTATATGGAAGTGCACACAATCACGGCACCGGCGAAAATTTCGTCGGTCGCCGCGAACTCAATTAGCTTTATTTCTATTTCATACGCCGGCGACCGGCGAACAAAACAGTACAAGGTGGCCATACTTGTACGAATTTTATGTGTTTTAGTAAATAAAGTTACTTTTTACTTTAAAATTTGTTATGGTCACTCTACTATCTGTTACTCGTATAAAAAAAACATAATTAATTTGTTTATTTATTTGTGTACTTGCGCCTGAGTGAAGATGGATATCAGTGAATTTATAATAGAGAAATGGACATAAGTGAAATTATAATAGAGAACGTAAAGAATTATGTGTTCTTGTATAATTCATTGTAGTCAACAAATGAGCAAAAAGTAAACAACTTCATCAGCTGTTTTATAATTTCGTCGGTATTGTGTTCCATACGACGAATTTTCGCGGCTCATTTTGTCGCCGCGTAGGGCGAAATTCGTCGTTCGCTCCAATTGTGTTCCTAGCATAAAGTTTGGTTTTAACGAAAGGGAAGTTACAAATGGAATATTAAGTCTCAAATTAACACAAAGCATTAACAAAAACTCAGAGAAATCAGTAAATAAGGTTAATTAATGAGAAAAACATACTATCATGGACGTATAGGGTTGTAAAGATCGATAAAGAATAACATTAGGGATTTCTGGGTCGTAAATGCTATACATCGATTTGATAGTGTTGCCAATTACAGAAAATGGCTTCAGGTTCTACAGAAAAGACTTTTTGTGATTTTCCGTCCACACACTGTGTAAATACCGACTTAAAGACGCAGATGAAGACTGTCTTCAGCTAGTCTATAATAAACGATTTTAGCCCATCTATGATGGCTGAATTTAGCTAGACTAGAAAGACAAACTCTAGCCCGTCATCAGCATATCTTTTTCTCTGAGT